TGGCTCGTACATGCTAGGAACACAGAGGCACGTCGACCGCAATTATAGAGGCATTGTCGTTCCAGCCCCTGTCTACAAATTGGACATGACATGTCGGGGTGCCATACATGAGTACAGTACTGACTGTCATTGTACGTATGGAAGGCAAAACTCGCATGGAGTATCCCTTCATAATCCTCACGGTACAAGGCATGTGAACCGCATGCTAGTTGAATCTCCGGTGGGTCATTGTTACGGACTCCGCCAGGGCTCGATCCCTGGTCTATCTTTTTGCTGTTTCTGTTGCATCCCGTTTTCGGCCTGGCACCCTTTTTTTTCCAAACCCCTCCTTTGGTACCGTCGGATTTTGGACAACTGGCACCATGCTGCAATTCGGGCGCCACTTTCAAATACCGCATTTTTCAGTTCTGCCCTCCGGGCTTTTGCGGAAATGCCCCTGGTACCGTATGTGTCACCGGTACTTATACCGGCTCCCCGTACAGTACGGGGACCCGTTTCGTATCAGTTTTCTGCTGCTGTACTCGTTCTCAGGTGACTTGCTGTTTCGGCATTCGGAATCCAAGACTTCGACTTTGTGCCTTGCCATTGTGTTTGCGTCCGACCCTCAGTCGTGTTGAGTGAGTGAGTGTGTGTGTGTGCTCTCACTCTCTCCCTCTCTCTCTCCTCTCCCTCGGCTCTCCCTCAGCCTCGCGCTCGTCACACTGGTATCGGAGCGGTTCGAACCCGCCCGACCCACCCTGCCTCGTCGTCACCACCTGGCCATCATCAGCATCATCGTCGTGATCGCCGTCGTAGTGCCACGTCATCGTCTTGATCGTCGTCGTAGTGCCACGTCATCGTCCTGATCGTCGCCGTAGTGCCACGTCATCATCGTCATCGTTGCGATCGTCGTTGTCGTGCCACGTCATCATCGTCACCGTCGCGATCGTCGTCGTCGTGCCACGTTGCCATCGTTGTGCCCGTCGTCCTCGTCGCCGCGCCGTGCCATCCTCGTCATCGTCGTTGCTACCTCCGCGCAGATAAGTAATCGACGACAATTTTCTTTTTTATTTTTTTTTATCTTTTCTTCTTCTTCTTTCTCTTCGTTCTCTTCTTCTCCTTATCTTCTTCTCCTTATCTTCTTCTCCTCTTCTTCTTTTACCCCCCCTGGCGCATTT